TAAAATCCTTCTCCTAACATACAAAGCCCTTAATGACAAGGCTCCATCGTATCTTAAAGACCTCATAGAGCTTCATCACAACAAAGCACTTTGCTCTCAGGTTTACTTGTGGTTCCTAGAGTCCACAGAAGCAGAATGGGAGGCAGAGCCTTTAGCTATCAAGCTTCTCTCCTATGGAACCAACTCCCAGTCTCAGTTCGGGAGGCGGACACCCTCTCTACCTTTAAGATTAGACTTAAGACGTTCCTTTTTGATAAAGCTTATAGTTAGGGCTGGATCAGGTGACCCTGAGCCGTCCCTTAGTTAGGCTGCTATAGGCCTAGGCTGCTGGGGGGCCCCATGATGCTCTCGGTTTCTCTCCCCCCCTCTATACTTCTATATGCCACCATTACACATTACTAACTTTGTGTCTCCTCTCTCCCGTAGTGTGTCCTCTCTCTCTCCCTGTACCTTTCTGCAGGTTGCCCTGGCCCTGGAGCTCTATGTCTTTGACGAGCAGTCACCAGCCACATCGACCTGATCAGTGTTTGATTGTTGTGTCTTGTTGCTTTTCTTCTTGTGTCTCTCCTCTATCCACTCACCCCAACCGGTCCTCCCCACTGTCGCCAAGTGCTTGCTCAAGGGGGATTTGTTGGGTTTTCCCTATGTAATAATATTGATAACACTAAGGTCTAGACCTTACTTTGTAAAGTGTCCTGAGATGACTTTCGTTGTGATTTGGCGCTATACAAATAAAATTTGATTTGATAACACTTACCTTTTTACTTGCTCCTCCAAGGGAAACCTTGGGTCTTGTCTTAAAATCTCCCTCAAAGCTAAACATTGTTAGATTCTTCCCATTGACTGATTCAGAGATTGCCTCTAATTCCTGAAAGGGAAAGTGAAACAAAAATAAACTCAGACTATACTTAACGGTATAGCAAATACTAAGTTACAACCAGTGGCGAAATGAAACATAACGACCTGCCGACTCGTGACTTGACTGCAATTTATAAACAATTGACTTCGGCTAATAGAGTCTCCAACCATTACAGTACATTGCAATATTTTGCTTGTAATTTTTGTTGCCAAAGAAAACAGACATGAGCCTTTATATGGACAGCTGTTGAACAACAAGACAGAAAGTAAGTTCAGCTACTTACCCGCTTGACAGCTTCAGTTTGGATGCAACAATAGTTAACTAGCCGGCTGACTTAGCTAGCTAATGACTCAGCAGCTGCTAGGCACTTTACAATGCTGCTAACGATTTCTGACTTCAAGCAACAACGAAACCAGTAAATTAGAGAGCATTTATTGATGACATGTCGGTGTGCTTATTCATACATCTGTAAGTAGCAGGATTTTTGTTGACGTTAGCACTGCAGCTAGCTGGCAGAGCAGCTAAGCACTAAGGCAGGCTAACTTTACGAGAAGTGCCTTCCTATTCGCATGTCCCGTTTGGCATCGCTCATATTACAGGACACTCATCTGAGCAACATAAATCAGCTACCTATAAATCGTTTACCTTCGCCTTTTCAATTAAGGCGTGAAACAGACACAATTACAATGAGAAAGCAATTCAGGTTTATCCAAACGTCGTCTTCTATTCCGTTCTAGAAATCAACACAGAGCATAGATACTCAACCATATCCGGTTCCTGCAATGCCAGCCAGATGATTGGACAAAAGTTACGCTAATAACGGACTAGACCCGCCTCTCAACTACATTCGTTGAGAAGGGTTTTTTTTCTCTCTCTCTCTCTCTCTCTCCCCCTCCCTCTCTCTCTCTCTCTCCCCCTCCCTCTCTCTCTCCCTCCTCTGTGTGTGTGTGTATGAGACCAAAATATGAATATTTTGTCCTTCCCTGAGAGATAGATATGATATGAATATGTGAATGAAACAAGACTCCTGTAAATAAATAGGACCCCTGTAACATATTTTCCAGATGATCTACAAATTATACAGTCATTATGCATTCGTATTTATGAGTCTATGTTGATAAACAATAGGCTAAAAACATAAGCTGCATATTAGTAGGAACTGTGCAAAAGTTTGAAGGATTGAAACGTGCAGTAAACAGACCTAAATCAAATCAGTATTGATGTGACCACCCTTTGCCTTTAGAACAGCACCTGTTCTTCTCAGTACACCTATACATAGTTTTCCCAAGTTGTTACTTGCAGTTATTTCCACTGTCACAGTGTCTTCTGTTTCTTCGTATAATGCCAGACTGATACTGAGATCAGTGTGGGGACTAGACATCTGTTGCAGGAAGGAAACCTTGTTCTTCTTGTCACTGACTGAAGATAGCTCTTTATGACTCAGAAAATGAATTTGGGATGCATCTGAATAATAAGCTAAATGTCTAAAGTGCCAAAAACATTTGCACAGTACATAGTATAGTTAGTAGCCCACATTTTGTACATTAAACTAAAATAAATGTTATTATTTTAACAATAACATCCATCCATCCATCCATCCACATTCTTCCATTTATTGGAGATCAGGTGTAAGTGGCAGCAAGTCCAGCAAGGTAGTCCTTCAAGTCAAGTCTTTAACAATAACACATTTAGTTAATTTAAAATATATTTCAAAACATTAAAAACATACAGGCCTGCATTTCTACTGCCCCTCTAAATCAGTTTCATTTGAAACATGCTGAATAAACATGATCCTTACGGTGCCGCTTTTGTTGGCATATGATCTTAAGAGATTTTCCAACCATAGGCTACACAGAATGTGTGCAAAAGCTTGTATGCATCTCACTGGAGCTGAACAGTCTAACTTAAAAATGACTGCAAGCAGTGTACTAGAGAGAAATTTGGAAGGTTTTGTTCTTGGGTGTAATTCAACATCTTTCAGATGCCCAAACATTTCAGATTTTTTTCTGCCAGTATTGCACTGCTCCTGACATCTTACTAAATGCCAATGGGCAGATTTTCCCACTTTATAACGTTAGAACAGCAATGGATACTGCACACTGGTAAATCAAGTTGCAATGGTATGATCATTTCATTTGACAGAGAATATTGTGAGTGGATGTGTTCATTCCTCACAGGTCTTCATTACAGACATACCTCAAGGTTGAATAGTTGGACAGATTACATTCAAACAGTGAACGAAATATTTCCTGCCAGTGTTACTCTACACACACATTTGCCTTTTGAGTCCAGTAACTGAAAAAGTTGGACTCTCCATAGACCTATGTGTTTATGATGAGCTCTTACAGATTTAGAACAGCTGCCCTAAGGAAAGTGCAACCGTTTCTCTCTCATATCTTTCTTTTGTCAATCATTTTGGTTGAATATTCACACCTTCACAGCTCCAGTGGATAAAAGGAATTGCCTGAGAAACTCTGGATGGCTGAGTCAGTAAGGCCTTTTTTATTGTTTAATAATTTATTTGTTTATTTTTATATCCATATTGCTTCCTCAGATGTATTCATCTCTTTTCATTTGTTGCTATATTTTCCTATGGAAATTAATATTACTATGTTATAATTCAGTAGGATAAATGGTGTGATGGAAATGTATTAGCGCTGTTTGTTTAATGGAATTTGTCTTTCATAATTTGATCTGTCTAGGTTTTGATGCATGTACATTTTTCTGAAAACTATTACATAAAACTTAGATGATAAGACGAATGGTTATAATTATTACAAACATCACAGCAAAAGACTACACTCAATCTTTTTTTCAGTTTTTACACATATAAATGATTAGGTTCACATTTCAAATGCAATCCAAAACAATAGTCTTACAAGAAAACCTAACATTTGTAAATATTAGGTTAAATGGGCTGGAAGACATATTAGAGACTTTTTTCAATACAACACTGTCCAAAACATAATCACAAATGTGAAACAATGCTTTCAACAACTGAAAATACAAGCTTGACTTTTCTGCACTCTAGATTTCCTTTTTCCTCAACATCATAACGTTGCTTGTTGTCACTTGTCAAAATAGGAGAGAGTAGGTCATTTATAAAATGGTGTGCATGTTAAATATACTACGTAATGCTGTGACTTTTACTACTTTAGACAATACCTCCTGTAGAATAAAAAACAATCCCATAATGCAAATGCGGAGCTGAATTAAAAATGAGATTTTTGATGAAGTATTTTAAGCTTCAATAGAAATCCAATAAAATGTGAATAATGGAAATCAAGTGGGAGCCTCCAACCTAACCAACAGGGGCCATTAAAGAAATTACATTTATGTTTAAATTGTGCATACAGAAGAAAAAATCCAGCCTGGATCATTTTCAATTTGTGACTTTTTAATATAAAATATCTGCCCTTGTTTTATAATTTGGACTTTTTTTACTTTATAAATGTTGAATAACTAACATTTTAGCCATTAAGCAGGTGAACATAAGCTACAGTAATATGTTTTTTATTATTGTTATTATTGTTGTTGTTTCTTTTGACGTCGGCTTTTTGTTTGACTGAACGAATAAACGCGTTTAAACTATGAACAAATGACTTCACTAAGATCTGACTGGGCCTATAAAGCAGCAAGGCGACTTTCAGGCTTCACTTGTTCTAATCATCTTATTGACATTGGTATTAGAGTGTTTTTTTCTGACAGAAATTAGGCAGGAACGTCGTCATGTGAACTCAAACCTTAAAAAAAAGTGAGTCACAAATGTGGCAAAGCAGTCCCACAAAGAGGTGATCATTTGTGCCAATTTAACCAAACGTATATTCTGCGGTATATAGTCCCTTTAAATTGCCATTTCTTAATGAACACATTTGTCAAACGTAATTAATATATAAACTATCCCCGGGTGTCACTGTGATTTGTATTTTAGTTAATTGTGAAAGTAATTACGGAGAAAATGAACAGCTTTCAGGAAAGACCAGGGTTTTAGGGTCCGGTTCCATCTTAGGGCGCCTTATTAATTTTCTCTCCCCTAGATGTGATGAAAAGGAGCGATAAATCTGGGTGATCAGTGAAGGCCAATACTAAATGGCTCCATATTTCACCGCTACTTTAATAAAAAAAAATATTCATGCGGGAACCTTAATGAAATTAAACTCGCGCCAGTGACAAAGCTGGATTGTGCGCAATCAAGAGTCTGGCTGTTATAAAAAATAACCCCGCAGAAAGCTGATAAAATGCGTTTATTCGATGAGAAAGACTTCATTCTGCTATATGTCCAGGGGTGACAATGTTTATTTAGACCCTCAAAATCTTTAAATATCTTAGTTGCCACACTCCCAGCCTTCCCTGTGGTTTCCATGGCTGGCCGTGTCCAGACTGGATGAGCTAACAGACCAACTGAGAGTGAGGGTTAAACAAATGACCAGAAGTGTAGGCTATATTGTGTAAAGGCAAATAAATGCTCACTTTAAGAATGCTGCAGATTGTTACAGATTAGAGACACACCGAGAATCATCAGCATATGCTCCGTTCCCCTCCAATAACCTACAAACAAATAAAAAGCAGAGTACTGACTTGCCTCTCTCTCTCTCTCTCTCTCTCTCTCTCTCTCTCCTTCTCCTTCTATGTTTTCACGTTTCTCGTGCAGGCCCACATCAATCTCCTCGTTATCATTCTCTAATTGGTCATGATCATCAAGGGCCACAATTAAACGGCGATCCTTTACCTGAAAACTACCCGCTGACTTGTTGATTTCCCCCGAGCAAATAAACGTCCCCAGAGCGCGTTGACTGATGAATCGACAAAAACTAATCAGCTTTATTGGTAGACAGGTTAAGGGCAATGGGTTGTCAGTAATTCTCATTCCGACCTCCTCTTCCATTAACTTTAAGTGGCTTATTAGACTGAAGCCACCGGAAGCAACGGGCTGATTACATCTCTCCCCTCATCACTCTCTGAGGGCTTCAGAAATATTCTGCTGCCCTTTGCTCACGGATTGTGCCTAAATGCGTCTTGTTTTGACAGCTACCCCTGGCTTTTCTGAGAAGTCAAACATCTGTATGTCTGGCCGTGGGCGTAAATCTGTTTTACAGTTCCATTCATACAGCTCATCAGCAGCCGTCTGTCACCGTCAGGTTTGGGGAGCGACATAAGGAGGGCTTTTACTTCAATTTCCCCGTTGACCCCTGCGTGCATCGGCTCATGATTCTCGTTCTCCCCCATGACTTCTTTTTTAATTCAATACGCGAAGACAGGCCTGATAACCCTGTGTTAGACACGGGATGATTAACACTTATCCATTTGCCCTCTCATTTAATATTTCACATTTTAAGGCTTAAATTTGAACAAAATTTTGTTAAACAGACTGTTTTCATATAAACCAAGAGTCAAAAGACAGACCAAGAAAATTACAGTAGGCCTATATGTCTTATAGCCTAAAAAATAAAGTAATTTAATTTTCATTTAACTGAAAGAGAAACTAAAGATAAAGTGGAATTATCATTAGGATGTTTTGTGTTTATGAATGTTACTTCTCCTGTGACCTAATTGGTGATGTAGCCTTTATAGGAAACGACGCAAGTCCGTTTCTGTGATCACCTTGGAAACCTTTACTCAGTAACACCTCTGTTAATGAACTGCATATCAGGCCTATACTGTGTTTATAAAGAAAACATCCAGTTACAGGAGATTAAAGATCAGATTTTTTTTTCAAACGTTTGCATAATCTTCTTATAATAGCATTATTTTTATGAAAGCAATAACGCAGCCAACATCGTGTTCTACACTGATTAAAGAGGGGCGTTGATGGGTCAGACGTGAAGGGACGGCCCCCAGTCAGACCGCTGCACCAATCGCCTCCATCTGACAGGGATTAAGTGTCACACGGAGCTCCTCTCTCCCACTCTGGACCACAACATAACTTCTGAGAGGTGGGCAAACGGCACTGGCTTCTCGTTCACAGCAGCAGACGCGAAAAAGACGCGTACCTGGGCCTCAATGGAGAAATCCAAAAACTTTCGAATTGACGCGCTTTTAGCAGTCGATACACCCAAGGCGCAGACGTCTCCACTTGCGCTGGTGACTTCCCTCTCCGCCTCCTCCTCCATTCCGTCTTCAGCCCCAGACCTGACCACCAGCGCCGAATCTTTACGCACCGAGACCCCGTCTCCGCCGAGAATCTCCAACTGCGGGTTGATTCACAAACCGGGTTTTCTCAACACTCCGCACAGCATGGTTGGCTTACATCCGCAGAGCACTGCAGGGATCCCCGCACAGGCTCTTTACGGTCATCCCATGTACACCTACTCCGCTGCTGCCCTCACAGGACAACACCCTGCCCTGTCCTACTCCTATCCACACGGCTCCCATCACCACCACACCAGCGATCCCATCAAATTGACAGCCAGCACGTTCCAGCTGGACCACTGGCTCCGGGTCTCCACAGCCGGAATGATGCTGCCCAAAATGTCGGACTTTAATTGTGAGTAAATATTTCATTACAGAATAATCAGTCTGCTACAAAGAATGTAAAAATATTTGGTTATAAACCCTGGTTACATGATGCTGCTATAAGACAACATAATATATAGACATGGCATTATTATTTTACTTAAAAATAAAGTCAACTTGTGAACGTTTTAGTGCACCACTTTCCTCAAATATTACGTCCGTCTGAAGAAGAGGCTGTCACAGACTGAATGATTTTCTGAAAGGAACTAAAATGGACAGATAATGGACAGTGAGAAAGTGGCGGAAGGCCGTGAAACCTACAGTCCACATGCTATTTGCTCACCAGATACTGCCTTTTTGTTTCTGCTCCTTTTAACAAATTTGTTCAAAATGGAGTGGCAAATAGCTTCCATGGACATAATCATATGTGGACGACCTTGTTGCTTGAGACATCTGGAATATTGCGTATTTTTATATTATAAAAAAAAGTCTAGATATTTGTACTGATTTTGACGTGTGGTAAAGTTCCCCTAACAAAATTAATGTCCTTTAACATTTTATCAATAGTCATAAACTGATGAATTTAATTCTCTTAATGTACTTTTAATTTATTGAAAAACTATAGGCTATTTTATTTGGCATTCACGTCGTCGTCTTCTTGCAGCTCAAGCGCAGTCCAACTTGCTTGGCAAGTGCAGAAGACCAAGAACTGCATTCACAAGTCAGCAGCTGCTGGAGCTGGAGCATCAGTTCAAACTGAATAAGTACCTGTCACGACCGAAGCGCTTTGAAGTGGCTACGTCCCTCATGCTGACAGAAACTCAGGTAGATGTATATGTATGCATATATAGCGTCTGCACTGATGTTGCTATTATAGTTAAGGATTAACCACTAAGTGTGCGCTTGGCTGTCAATAGGCAAAACAAATGAAAATTAATAAGGAACTAAAATCTCATTCCTCACCTCACTTGGTCGTGATATTTTTCAGACTCCGGGTGGAAAATGGCAATAGGGTTATTCTATTAGTAGGCTGGGTTTCTACTTGATTTAGGGGAACTAATAGATTCGACATGCAGTGCAGGATGATTGTTACACGCAGTGATCTGGTGACTTTTACGCAGTCTTTACGCATTTGGGTAAACATAAAGAAGCAAGTCTGTTAATTTGGCAGCATTTTGAGCTTTTATTTGAAAGCACACGGTGAGAGGAAATGAAGGGGATGAGAAGGGTAAAATAATGTGCACAATTAAGTTCCCGGCCCTCAAGAGAACAAGGGACGTTGGTACTGGCTTTATGATACGCGGCTTAAACATAGCCTAGGCCACAGACACCCTCTTCTCCTTAATATACCTAAATTATGTTTCCTTTCCTCAGGTCAAAATTTGGTTCCAGAACAGACGAATGAAGTGGAAGAGAAGTAAGAAGGCCAAAGAACAGGCCGCCCAAGAGGCCGAGAAGCAAAAAGGCACCAAGGAGAAATCTGACGGACTTGAACAGTCGGATTATCATAGCAAGACAGGCTCAAAAAATGGCAGAATAAGAGACTTCAGGGACAGTGACGACGAGGAAGGCGACGGTTTCCTGTGCAATTCGTCAGACTGCTCTTCTGATGACGAGAGGAATCATACCAGTGCCATTAGTCCGCAGCCTTGAGGCCGATGAAGCAGGGCGAAAGTGGCGATCTTCATTTAAAATGACTGAGGGGATTTACGCTATAAAATACAGATGCATGTAATCCAGCCTCTAATCACCTACATGTAATTACTGAGCATTTTTATTGTGAAAAGAATCAAATGTAGGTCAAGAATAAAGGACCCTCATGTCATATTAAACAAACAATACAAGCAGGATAATACGCTTAGGAATATCATTCACTTAGCTATAAACTGACGCATTGCATGGTTTCTACGCAAAACGCTGTACACCAGCTCTGGGCGTTGCAGTCTTTCCTGCGCTGATGGTTAGTTTATCGGCAAGAGTCTTACAAAGTAAACACCCTGTCATTGACCTGTCTTCGCCTTATTTTGTTCTTTGTGGTGTTATACTAACGTGTGTAATATCACGCTGGAAAAATGTTTATTTTTCTATACTGTATTTATAAAAAATGGTCATACTAGTGCATGCTAAATTATTGTTTAGCGTTTCTCTTGCTGCAAAAAAGTTAAATAAAATGCTTTTTTAAATAAAAAAAAAGGTAAAACTCAGTTAGAAGCTATTTTGGCGCAAGTCTTGTGGTTGTCTGGAAATCTAGTCCATTGATTTAACGCTTTAGTTGCGGTGTTTCAGCCTGGATGCGGACAGAGGCTTGTGTTTTTCTCCTTGCTCTGACAGGTAGGGTCATGGGAATTACTGTTAATAGCGCTGTCGGATCTGTGCAAACGTGCAGTGAGAGCAAACAGCAAGTAGGCAGTCAGACGGAGGAAACATTTCACACCACACCAGCAATGGACTCGTATTAATAAACTATTTAAAGGGCTTAAGGGCAACACTTGGCTCCTGCAGCATTATTTTGAGGGCTTAACTCATTTAGTCTGCAGGATAACTAGTAAAATATTTTATATTAATGGAGATATTTTTAAATGTTAGACCAAATTATTTACCCATAGCCTATGCCGGAACATAGACCTTTATATTTTATTTTGAGTGGGTGTTGGAAGATCATTTTTGGACACATTACACACATGCAAAATGCAAATTTCTTTCCTTTGTTTATAACTATCTACAGCTGTCTACAGTCTTCTATTTTAGTACTTTATTGTGATTGTCTACCACTATGACTGAGCCATTGGGCCCATTAATAACTCACCTTTAACCTACATGGGGTTAGTCTTCAAAATGGCTTTACTTATCACTGTTCCCGCAGTCATCAATGTTAAACTATAGCAGGGTTCGACTGCTTAAGTGCCATTTGTAACAGGGTTACTGAATGATCTGCTGGTTATCTTCCACTGTTTGCTTTAGCAGATGAAATCAAAGTTCAGTTGAGGGTCAAGCCCAACCAGGTACAACAGGTAAAGCTGATGGCAGCTCACTGTGGCCAGCATATGAACTGCACAGTGTGCCTATTAATTCCACTTTTAAAGACACTAACTCATTTTTCTCTTCATATTTTGCATCCTTTCACTAAATACACCATCACATTTGGTGTATCCTTGTGATGATGGAGGGAGGGAGGATTCTTTGCCATCAAAACACTGAATCTTAAATGTTAGCCGTGATTAAAACACCTTTCCACTGCCCTCAGCATGGGTTTACTGTGTGGTTTGTTTCCTGTTTGAGCTGGGTGGCCCATTCCTGGCTTCAGGCCACACTTCAGCCATAAATCCATACAGGGCTCACAGAGTGAGCTAATTAACAGTATCACATGTAACAGGATGACTCTGCTATGCTAACCGCATGGCCAGTGAGCAAACGAGTCTAGCAAAACAGGCTAGAACCAAGGCCCCCGGGTCATTTCATCAGAGCGTGTAAACAGTGAAGGAACAGTGCTATTGTTTATATCACACTAACTCAGCCAAGTGGAAATATAAACATGAAAAGATAAAAATATACAAATATTCACTAATCAGTTGTGTTTAAGGTTGAAAAAGACTGAGTGTACATAGACCCAGTAAAGCTCAGAAGAATGGTTCCCGGTGACTAACTCTTGTGATATTAACTCTCGTTGTATACTCCATTAGGTCTGAGGAAAAAACATGAAAGCATAAAAAAATAAGAAATTAGAGCAGTTGTAATAGAACATTGTCTCTCTCTCTCCACAAGGGTGTCAAAATGTCTGTGATTTATTGAGGCTATTGTAACTGATGTTGAACAACTGGTACAAATTACAGTCAATCTGGTAAGATACAATCATTTTTGATATTTAGCCCCTTTGTTTTTAACAATTAAATAAACACCATCACATATAAAAATCTGTTTTTTTTTCTTTAAAGTAAACAGTAGGTTTGTGTTCTTCACGTTAAAAGGCGTTCAACTCCAACAAGCTCTCCTCTGTTCCACAGTATGTTTATTGTATGTGTGTTTGTTTTACAGTTTAAGCTTGGCCTCTTTGGCCTCCATGGCTCTGGTGGCAACCTGAGCGCGTTCTAAGAGCATTGCTGCTTGCTCAGCTGGTCCTTGCTCGCAGCATTCCTAGCTTGGGAATTCCTGAAATCCTGGCAGACAGGAAACAATGAGGTGCAATGATTTTCAAATGTTCACATAATGACAAACAGTACAGAGGAATGGTTTAACAAGCCATGGGCTCACAGTGCTCAACTATTAAAATGTACCGTTTAAACAGGCTAATAAAATTACTCCACTGATGCCAATGTGGGTCATGTCCACCATTTTAGTCCAGACAAATTTCTCAACTAATAGTTAGAAAAATTACTGTAAACAGGCTATGTGTGGGGCAAAATGGATCAATTTGTAGTAACTACAGTGAGAGAGGAGACCATGGATTACTCCTGATGGTGCTCCACTGCCACAGTGCATTATTTGCAAAGCGGTGCTAGCTAAGGACAAGGTGAGACCTGGTGCCCCAGCTTCCAGCCTACAGAAAGGTTCTCCAGCCTCCAGCCTAGTTCCAGAGGATCCAGCTCCTGACTCCAGCCTGGTTCCCCAGGCCCGGCCTCCAGCCCAGTTCCCCAGCCCCACTCTCCAGCTCCAGACTACAGCCTAGTTCCTACGCACTGGTCTGGAGGCTGGGGCACAAGGCTGAAGTCAGGGGCTAGAGGTTGGGGGTGGAGGCTGGAGACGGGGGGGAACAAGGCTGGAAGGTGTGGGCTGGCGCTGGAGCCCCATTCTCCATCCCAAGCCTCCTCTGGCATCATATTGAAACCAAACACCCAAGTTTGTTGACCAAGACATAGGAGTTTTTTTTGACAGGAAAGTAGAGGAACTGTGGTCACAGGAGAAAAAAAATTGAGACATCAGCATTGTGAATAACGAGGCGACCAAAACATCATATGGTATATGGAATACACACAGTGTGGAGACAGCGATATGAAGACCACTTGACTTGAGCAAACCTGCACAAATATGCCTTAGAAAGTATGGTTTTGTTGAATTGGGGCTATTTTAGTAAGGTTGTTGATGAGCCTGTTTTCAGTTTGTGATCAGACTTTGGAGGATTAATTGGTAAACAGGTAAGAGTAGAAATCGATGTTTAATAGTCCTTCAGAATGGAATTGTGTTCCAAAAGGTTTTGCTTGAAAGATGTTTACCATTTATTGTTGGAAGCCATTTTTATGGCAGAGTGGAACATACAGCAGACTACCCCAACAGTAGCAATAAAGGTAATGGTTTCCTCTGAGGGGAGGCTCACTGAAATCTGAAAACACCAATTTTATTAGTGTGTGTAATTTTGCATTTAGATGTTTGCATCTCCAAGATGCTAAGAATAAAGTGTAATCACAGTGAGGCTCACCTTCCAAATATGCTGGCTAGGTCCTCTGGCTCAGTTTCTTTTAGTAGTTTAGTCAGCATCTGACGGAGGAAGCGCACTGTGGGCTTATCCAGTTCCCCAAACTCTATGGCCTCCACAGAAAAACAGAGGTGACCTTAATGAACAGGTTTAAGATTTACTCAAATATAACGGCTACATAGTGAAAACTTCAAACTACAAACAATGTGTCACTTACTTTGAGTATGGAGAGTGAGAGGCACTTTCTTTGGAGGAAATGCGTAACTAGCTGGACCAGGTTATTAAAGGTACTGCTGGGAAGGTTGGACAGCTCCCTGAACTTGTCCCATAGGCTGAACTGGAAGGTCATCTAGGTGTATATGGGATATCAAATTGAAAGATTGCATAATATCAAAAACGGTAGTGGAAACTAAACAACAGGAACCGTCTTCTCTCCACAGGTTATTCCCTCATCCAAATCCAGTTTACATGTGAAAAACAAACATTCCCGCCGGCTTTGGTTCAAGCTCTTTGATGGGGACAATGGTCACAAGTTTCTGATATGGACCTGTGGTCTACAAGGCAGCAAAGCAGGAAGTGTGGTCTCACCTCCATTGTTTGCAGTCACAGTTTGAGTCAAATAATTTGAGGTGTTAGAGGCTCCCACACTGCAGAGGTGAATGTAAGGCCAAACACAGGTCATGCACAGTTTACAAGTACTTGTGCCAAATTTGAAGAAATTCCCTCAAGGCATTCCTAAGATATCGTGTTCACAAGAATGGCACAGACAGACGGACAACCCAAAAATATGCCTCTGGCTGCAGCTACCTCCGTCGTGGAGGCATGAAAAAAATGGTTATGAGAGCTGCTACGTGACAAATACTTTATGGATGTAAGTAATAAATAAACTTCATGACGGAGGAAACATGACTTTAGGATGTTTAATTGGCTCTGTGTTGACCAAGACATAGGAGTAGTATTATATACTTGTGCCAAATTTGAAGAAAATGAGGACGCAGGGACTCTAGAGGTTAATATAAACAGACCTTCCTGGATTTTTTTGTTTTGTTTTTGATGTATTTGTGTATGTACATTTTTTATCTAAAGCCCAAGGTAAAATGTATTGACTTATAAAAAATGTCTAGAGAAGCTGCTGATTGCATGCACATTACTAATCTAATTGGTGATAGGCCCTTAAGCTTTTAAAGAATGTATTAAAGTGTATTTAATAAGTCAAGGTTGATTGTTATTGTTGGGTCTTGCATTGGAGCTGTCCTGTATCATAAGATACAGGAGGTTTACTATATGTGAGTACCTGGAAGCGGCGGTCATGGGAGCAGATTTTCTCTCCGAGTACAGCGTAAAAGGCATTGAAGGTTTTCTCCTGCAGACAGCAATCCATCAGAACATGAACAATCTCTCTCTCCTGCTTGTCCTTCAGTCCCATCCTTCACACAATGCAAATAAAGGGGGTTTGAAACATCAACTTCGACATGAAAAATCTGAATATAAAAGGCCTTTATTCCATTTCTGTTCGATCTGCTTAACATAAAGACAAAGTTGTAGAGTAAGCCATAACAAACCTCAACAGCTTCTCAAATGCATCCAGGTAATCTTCACTGGTCATAATCACACAAAAGATGTTTCTTCTGATGTCAGTGTTCATCCTCTGCTTTCTGGCCAGCTCTAACACTTTGGCACTAAACTGAAACAAACAGACAACAGTCAGGTGAAAAATATTGCTAAGGCTAAACTCACTCACCAAAAGTGTTGAAAATACTGATTAATTGTGAATAAATATGGGCGTCTTTTTAGTTTTTTTTTATGCTTTTTTGATCAGGCTTCCCCCCCTTTCTAAAAATCTACTTTTTTCAGTACCCTCTTTGGCCCTACTACTTGGGTCAGAACAATACACAGAATAAAGTCAATTCTTGTCATTGAGTGTGATTCAATTATTAAATAAGAAATGAATAAAATCTAAAATGGAATGAATTGAATACTGCAACATAAACAAAATGGGACATAATCACATCATAATGTTCTTTCCCGATCGCAGCCTGGTTTAAAACCTTTACACCAAAACTTGCTCCGTGCAGTTCTGTACTGGGACACCTACTGTACACATATACACTGCTGCTATCCCTTCTATATTTCCAGTACCTGCCCTTCAGCAGTCATCGGTTTCGTAGTCTTGCTCCCTTGTTCGCTGATCATGGGCGCTCCACTCCACGAGGAGCCGACAATCCACCAGCGGCCGATTTGATCCGCGGCCAGGAGATTGTCCAGTGAGACCCTCAGCTTCATGTCACTGCCTCCTGCACTACGGTGGATCTGAGTTACATGTTCACCAGGAGTCAGTCACAGGTGCACATAGTAAACAAAACCAGGTTGGAAATACTGTATGTAAAAAAAAAAAAAAAAGAAAAAAAAAGCTGGCTGCAAACTGAAAGCTGACAACTGTTAGAACAGTCACACAGATGGTCATGCTGAAAACATGTACTAGTCTGTAAAAGCAGCACTTTAGGGCCACCTGGTGGAAGTTACTAGAACAACAAATTATCTTAAAAGATTATGATAATCACAGTCACTATGGTAAATAATATTAGCCCCTATGAGCTACACAGTCAAAATCTATGTTCACTAATGTAGGAAAACAAGGCTGTTTGAAATCAAACATGGTCAAACTGTGAGAATCACCCACCAGAGTCCTCTGCAACTTCCTCAGTCTCTCCACTGGCTCAGGATTGTAGCCTGGAATCTTTCGCATATCATTATTCTTCAAAGCCAACATGGTTTCCAACATAAAACGCACCTGAGAGCATTTTTACACAAAATCAAATATTAAGGTAAAGTTCCAAAATGTAATAACAAAATCAGTAACATGGTGCTGTAGCCAACACCTGTTAAGACAGGGGTGTCAAACTCAATCCAAAGTTGCAGGCCAAACAGGATTAACATTTATTGAACAGTCTAAAACCGACAATGATTTTACCAGAAGTATGAATTTGAACAGACTGCAACAACCTTTCCCTCAATAAAATAAATTTTAAAAATTCAATTCAAATTTTTCCTCAACAATAACATAAAGTAATCGTAATTTTTTGCTGTAGCTTTTCTGAACATTACTTGCTGCAATTGCAGTCTGTCTTTTAATTCTTTGACAATTTATTTATTTATTTTTGGCTAAATTTAGCATGCTTAACTCCGTGTTTGGTCCCAAATGCCGACGCACATTGTACTCCTTCACCACCGACACTGCCTCATGACACAAAAGACACACCGAAACATTTACACGCTTTCGTTAAATTGCCTTCCTTTTGCAACAATCTTACTCTTAGACGTTTTGGGATTAATTGTTGGTATTTCTCATTTCCAATTGTCGGGAGGTTGCTGGTTAAATGCTGAAGACAAAACACTGCCATCTAGTGGCAGGATGACAATACTTCGCGGATCCCGAAATCGACGTGCATTGTGGGAGATGAAGTTTATGATCAGTGTACGTTTTCAATTAGTATAGATGTTATTTTAAGACAACCATACACATTTCGAGGGCCATCAAAATCATCCAGCGGGCCGGATTCCACCTTGAGTTTGACACATGTGATCTAAGAAGTAATTCTGTTTGCCCTACCCTGGTCTGATCTTGGAACTTTGACCCCAAGTCGCTGGCCTTCTGCTGGGCTTCAGAAATGAGCTCCTTCAGAGCCAGTGCGTCGTCCTTCCTCAGGCTGAAGCCAACATTCCTCAGCACAAACAAAACTAATTCAATGTCCTTCTCTGTAAACGCTCCAACTAAATGCTTTAGAATGTCAAAAATGAGGACAGAATGCACAACCTGGAAGTTATAGAGGTGAGAAACTATGGCGATCAGGTTGTCACACTCTTTGCCTTCTTTTGAATTCTTGTACAACTTGTCAAACTCTCGCACCACTGTCTCTAGAAAATGGGCTCCAACCTGGGAAAAGACAAAATGCAAGCATTTCAGACCTGTTACTCTTTGACAGATGGATGTTAATATTTTGATGACAGTGTGATAAATATGGGCTTAATTATGCACAGGTTGTAAACAAATTTCAGAGTGTAATCCAATTACACAAACACCTGATGTATTTTCTCACTGCACTGTAAAGCACCATAAGCAGAAACATCTGCCTTCAATCTAACAAGTAAAGTTTCTGAGTAAAGAAACTGTGTGTAAAACCTACTGCAATAAGACCAAAGTGATAAAAATAATCAAATTTCCCATATAGACAATTTTAATTGTATTTTATCTTGAAAAATTTAAGATGGTTCATTTTAAAAACAGTTCTATTACACCTTAAGGCACAGCCTGGTTTAAAACCTTTACACCAAAACTTGCTCCGTGCAGTTCTGTACTGGGACACCTACTGTACACATATACACTGCTGCTATCCCTTCTATATTTCCAGTACCTGCCCTTCAGCAGTCATCGGTTTCGTAGTCTTGCTCCCTTGTTCGCTGATCATGGGCGCTCCACTCCACGAGGAGCCGACAATCCACCAGCGGCCGATTTGATCCGCGGCCAGGAGATTGTCCAGTGAGACCCTCAGCTTCATGTCACTGCCTCCTGCACTACGGTGGATCTGAGTTACATGTTCACCAGGAGTCAGTCACAGGTGCACATAGTAAACAAAACCAGGTTGGAAATACTGTATGTAAAAAAAAAAAAAAAAGAAAAAAAAAGCTGCCTGCAAACTGAAAGCTGACAACTGTTAGAACAGTCACACAGATGGTCATGCTGAAAACATGTACTAGTCTGTAAAAGCAGCACTTTAGGGCCACCTGGTGGAAGTTACTAGAACAACAAATTATCTTAAAAGATTATGATAATCACAGTCACTATGGTAAATAATATTAGCCCCTATGAGCTACACAGTCAAAATCTATGTTCACTAATGTAGGAAAACAAGGCTGTTTGAAATCAAACATGGTCAAACTGTGAGAATCACCCACCAGAGTCCTCTGCAACTTCCTCAGTCTCTCCACTGGCTCAGGATTGTAGCCTGGAATCTTTCGCATATCATTATTCTTCAAAGCCAACATGGTTTCCAACATAAAACGCACCTGAGAGCATTTTTACACAAAATCAAATATTAAGGTAAAGTTCCAAAATGTAATAACAAAATCAGTAACATGGTGCTGTAGCCAACACCTGTTAAGACAGGGGTGTCAAACTCAATCCAAAGTTGCAGGCCAAACAGGATTAACATTTATTGAACAGTCTAAAACCGACAATGATTTTACCAGAAGTATGAATTTGAACAGACTGCAACAACCTTTCCCTCAATAAAATAAATTTTAAAAATTCAATTCAAATTTTTCCTCAACAATAACATAAAGTAATCGTAATTTTTTGCTGTAGCTTTTCTGAACATTACTTGCTGCAATTGCAGTCTGTCTTTTAATTCTTTGACAATTTATTTATTTATTTTTGGCTAAATTTAGCATGCTTAACTCCGTGTTTGGTCCCAAATGCCGACGCACATTGTACTCCTTCACCACCGACACTGCCTCATGACACAAAAGACACACCGAAACATTTACACGCTTTCGTTAAATTGCCTTCCTTTTGCAACAATCTTACTCTTAGACGTTTTGGGATTAATTGTTGGTATTTCTCATTTCCAATTGTCGGGAGGTTGCTGGTTAAATGCTGAAGACAAAACACTGCCATCTAGTGGCAGGATGACAATACTTCGCGGATCCCGAAATCGACGTGCATTGTGGGAGATGAAGTTTATGATCAGTGTACGTTTTCAATTAGTATAGATGTTATTTTAAGACAACCATACACATTTCGAGGGCCATCAAAATCATCCAGCGGGCCGGATTCCACCTTGAGTTTGACACATGTGATCTAAGAAGTAATTCTGTTTGCCCTACCCTGGTCTGATCTTGGAACTTTGACCCCAAGTCGCTGGCCTTCTGCTGGGCTTCAGAAATGAGCTCCTTCAGAGCCAGTGCGTCGTCCTTCCTCAGGCTGAAGCCAACATTCCTCAGCACAAACAAAACTAATTCAATGTCCTTCTCTGTAAACGCTCCAACTAAATGCTTTAGAATGTCAAAAATGAGGACAGAATGCACAACCTGGAAGTTATAGAGGTGAGAAACTATGGCGATCAGGTTGTCACACTCTTTGCCTTCTTTTGAATTCTTGTACAACTTGTCAAACTCTCGCACCACTGTCTCTAGAAAATGGGCTCCAACCTGGGAAAAGACAAAATGCAAGCATTTCAGACCTGTTACTCTTTGACAGATGGATGTTAATATTTTGATGACAGTGTGATAAATATGGGCTTAATTATGCACAGGTTGTAAACAAATTTCAGAGTGTAATCCAATTACACAAACACCTGATGTATTTTCTCACTGCACTGTAAAGCACCATAAGCAGAAACATCTGCCTTCAATCTAACAAGTAAAGTTTCTGAGTAAAGAAACTGTGTGTAAAACCTACTGCAATAAGACCAAAGTGATAAAAATAATCAAATTTCCCATATAGACAATTTTAATTGTATTTTATCTTGAAAAATTTAAGATGGTTCATTTTAAAAACAGTTCTATTACACCTTAAGGAAAGGAAATCAAGGTGTTTAGATATCACCTTCTAATTAATTAAAAGAGCATTATCTTATAATTGACATATGCGAAAGATGCTAATCCCTTTGAAAAAGCTTCCAGTGAATAATCCAAGACTTGCTATCAATTCCACAGCCAGTTACTTTTTATTTCTCACACACAGGCAGGAAACCCAATCTTTTTCAAGCAGAAATGATCAGTGCCACATATGATACGACGGGACAGTCTCAGGAACATATCTGTGTATAAAAGGTAGTGCTGTAGTGTGTGTCTGTACCTCCAGTCCGACAGTGTGATGGAGGACGCTGACAAGTAGGATGTGCTCCATCAGTAGTCTGTCAGGCATCAGGGTCGGGGTCACACAAGCTGCTAGTAGCACCTCCGTCAGGGTATCATTCATGTCCTTCCTGCTGCAGCTCATGTATAGCTCCTCTAGCTGACTACTAATAGATGCAATGTTGGCCTCACTCAGCCTGAAGAAGTTAGTGAATTATCAGTTTTGAAAACACTTTAGTGCTAATTCTCACAAACCAAAGTCAGTGGTTTTTCTGACTACAACACTGACTAGTAAGAAATTATGTACTTTTCTTTGTATGAATGTATTAACATTTGAAGTGGGCAGTCACCTCCATCTCTTTGCCAGGAAATCACAGTTTGTCAGCAGGATTGAAGTTTGCTATCATATAAATGAGAGTTTGTCCCTTCTGGTTATTAACAGGACAGTCTCCTCACAAACCTCAAATCATTTGGCTGCATCAAATAAGACTTTTAAGCAAAACTATACGGATTCACGGATTCCAGCTTTTGAAATGTGAGGGCTTGCTTCTTTTCACTCACTATATTTCTAGAACAGAAATATCTTTAGGCAAAACCAGCTATTTCAAGAGGTCCCTTATGGGAAATTGTGACAGGGATTTTTTTTAACTGAAGCTGGTTATAATAAAGATGGAGGAAGAGTTGCAGGGTTTAGATGGTCAAAAGGATCATCTTTAATTGCGTAGAATGTTGTATACCACCCAAAGTGCAGGATGCATAAGCAGAGAGGTTTTAACATTTTATCAAAAGAGAACAGGTTGGGATTTTGTTCAAAATATCAAAAAATAGCAACATGCATTTTAGTTGGCATCCAATGGAAGAAGGCATTTTTATTTAATGTGTTTGGTAATGGCTGAAAATATTTGTGTGATGAGACTGCTACCTGTTCACGAGGCCTTTCACATTCCTCTTCAGTTTTTCAAGCTCAGCTTTGTGTTTATGATCTCCAGCATTTTGTAAGTGAGGCGGCACATACATACGAGTTGTAGAGGACACCTAGAAATTGGGAAAAAAGATGCCATTTGTGATAACTTCACTATGTTAATGTTATGACAGTAATGAAACAATTATTTCAGGTTTATGAACTCACGGAGTCTGCTGTATTTGTATGAGGAATGTCCTCTTCTTTTTCTTCTGTTTCCTCTTCATTGTCTGAGTATGCTGGATCACTGTTATCCAGCTCACCTTCCATTTCATCCTCTTTGTCAACCATTTCATCATCATCATCACCAACCTCATTCTCATCATCAATGGAACTCATGTCTTCATCACTATCTTGACTGGCCATCTCATCTCCTGGCTCTTCGGCCTCATCTGACAACTGAGAATCATTCTCATTAAGGTTTTCAAAATTCTCCTTGGCCATGTCGAGGTCATCATCATTATCATCAAACATTCCTGCAGCTGAAGACCCAGAGTCAAGCACACCAAGGACATAATCAAGTCCATCAGCCACAAAGGACTGTGGGAGACTTTTTTTGTTTTTCCTCTTGTTTAATCCCAAGCACCGCTCTAGTTTCTTTATTTCTCTGTCCTCTTGTTCATTTGCTTCCATCAGTGCCATTTTTCTTGATTCTTTCAACTTATTTATGCTCTTGCCTTTTTTGGAAGATGATGGTGTTTTAGAGCTGTCTGGTTTTCCTGTAGGCCCACTACTGGACTTATATGACTGTCTTTTTGATATTTCTTTGTTTGCGTTATCCATATTCTTCTTCCTCTGCTGTTTATCAGATGTTATTCCTGAGTTTTCACATTCATCAAGGAGTAAACTGGGGGCCTTTTCACCCTGATAATGGCTTTTTATTTTGGCTTTTTTCATTTTTCGCTTTTCTTTACGTAGCTCCTTTCTGCTTTTCTTTTTTACACATTTCAATCTGTGGTAATTATCTGTTTCTTCAGTGCCACATTTGCTTTTAACAAAGTCATCCACGGCCACCATATACTTCTCCAAGACGACATTTCCCTTCTTCTTTTTGCCGTTCTGCTTCAATTTTCCCTTCATCTCTATCACTCAGTCGAGATTTCTGACTGCGCTGGATAACGTGTGCTAGACAGTGTTAATTACAACCTTCCTTCAAAACACACGACTAGCCAAATTGACTAACAAGCTAACGTTATTGAAATGCAGGTGGTGTGAAACAACCAGCAGAAATAAATTGCAGGATTACAGCTCTCGTTTCCTATTTTAAACACAAATACCTTGGACAACACATGCTCCCGCGAGCACGGAATTGTTGATATAACTCCTTAACACCTGACCATCCTCTTCCGGGGCACGACGAACACGGATGATGTCGAAGAGCTGACGCCTGGTGATGACGTACGTTATTTTGGGGCGTGTTTTAGAACGGGGTGGTCTTTCAAGCAGTTAGGGCAGTTTTTGCAGAGAAGCGGAAAGTGTTTGAGTTGTTGCCAGTCTTACGAGGTAGCATGTAATGAATCTGTAGTCTTTTGTTTTTGCAATATGAAGAATGGAAGAAGACGATGTTACCATCAGAGAGCAGAATTTCCATAGCCAAGTCCGGGAGTACATCGTAAGTATCATACAGAGCGGCTAGTCAAGGTTAGCTGCTAACAATGTAACGGAAGCTGTCGGGTTAACGCTGCAGAATCGATTAAGCTTTAAGCTTCATTTTATGCTGCACCAAAACATGACATTTGGTGTCCAGATAAGTTAGTGGCCAAATAGATTTTAATCGAAAGTTAACAGATTAAAGTTGGCACACGTTAACGTTAGTTGGCTGTTAATTGTTAAAGGTTAACTACAGTGGTATTACATAGCTAAGATATTGTTTGGATATTTGAGCAGACTTGGAAGAAGCATCCCTGCGGTCAAAATGGTCAAAACTAACAAAATGTCCCGGTCATCAATAATTCACTCTCTCTTTACTTTATATGCAATTATTGTTATGACTGATTTATGCATCGTATTATTTTCAGATTTTCAGAGTGTCGTCTGATGTTTGGTGTAGATAGAATTTAACATCATATTGTTTAATGAAACACCACAGTTTTGAGTTTTTTGTAAAGCATAATTTCACTAAAGTTAATCAAAGATGTGTACCTTCAGGTACTATTCTATTAGCATTAGTAACGTGGGTCTTATGTTAGATATTATTAACGTAAATTTATTATTCCTTTCTTAATCAAAAAAAATGTGTGAGGTCTACACATTTTAGCAAAATGTCCATCATTTTTGTTAAATCCATTTTTTGGTGTGAGTATAAAAATATAAAAATCTTTTGTATGGGAGCCCTGTTTACTTACTTACTTGAGATGTAATATTATATTTAAGAAGTTATGTTGCTCTGTGATAAATTATTCCTGCAGTTTTTTCTTATAGATATTCTTTGCTGGGAACTTGTGTATGCATTACATAGTAATAATACACCTATTTAACTAAGAGTTGTTGATACCTTAAAAATAGCTCTTCTTGATGATGTTGTTTTGTCATAAACCACACTTTTTTTTCTTTTTTTTTCTTTTTTTTTTACAGTTTCTTGATATATAACCACAGTTTCAGGAAAAGTGAGAATATCAACACTAGACACTGTCTCCTTGATTGCTCTTGACAGGCACTTTTGAAATATGGAAACTATCAAGTATCTCTTCAGCAGGCAGCATCAACATCTCAGTTTTAGCTTGCACATTTTGTCCTGTGTGTCTCTCTGCACCTGACTTTCAGTATCCCATATCAACATTCCTGACATAAAATTCATTGCATGATGTTTTAAATGTCCCTGTACCACTTGACTTCAATCTCTGTTGCAAGCCAGTTCATGGAATGATTTTTCCAGCCACCAGTACATTGATATTGATTGTTGTGCTTGCTTATTTTGCTGTCAAGGTTACTCTGGGTTAGGTATAAACATGACTCAGTGACAAGATTATAGACTCTTAGACCTAAAGTGCCAGAAACTTCCGCAGTAAAGATTATTATAAAGAAAGACTCTCATGAATATGTTTTCCTAAAACACAGAAAATTAGATTTCTGTGTAATTAGGTTAAACAAATTGTAAAATTGTTATTGTGCTTGACATCAAATGTGAACAGCCACCGTTTTGGCAGACATTATTGTGATTAGGAGACAGAACTTCAAACTACAGTTCTTTCTAACATCACTTTACTCCTCCTCTCTGTCATCTTTTTTTACACACATGCACTCTCTCAGAAAGATATTATTACTGCACCTTAAGCCTAGCTTGAGTTTAGGTATCATATAGGTGTGAAATACGGTTGATAAATTGGTTGGGGATGCTTACAAACCCCTTATAAGAAGTTTGACTTGTCACCTGTTTCTTTTCGATTGCTCAGTGCATGACTCTAAAGTTTTGAGGGCAAACAGAGTGACATATAAGCTAGTGACAGTGGCATTTACAAGTGTGCTCGAACCTTGCTGCTATCTCCCCCTACACTGTTGCGTCTTCGTGTCTGTGCCATCTTATCGGTTCTGTCCACCTGATTCTGTGTTCTACTGGATTTGCCCCTTTGTGGACACGGTTTAGCTTGAGTCACTGTCATCCCAGAGTTTGTAAATATATCAGCTGTCTTTATTTTGGAAGGGGACTGCAGCTGATAAGAAAAACAGTTTCTGCTGCAGCTGTTATATAGCACCTCCTGGACAGACTATGGTGGTTTAGTGCTTCATTTTATATCGTTTTGTTTGTCTGAAATGTGCACGGTTTGCCTGAGTCATCTCATAAGCTCAGCTTGGCCATGATGAGTTGTGCAATATTGACAGGGTGTGAAGTGCTGCAGTGGGAGCTTCTAACATTAGTTATGTCTCTGTCACTGTCACAGTAGAAGGGGGAATGTGAAATGAGCTCTTCCCGTAAGCCCATCCAGCTTGTTTTGAAGCAGGGGTTACTTAATAAATTCTGTACACTGATGATTTCTGGTCCACTTTGCATGTATGCTGACACAGCTGGTCTTATCAGACATTGGAAAACAATGATGTGCTGCTCTTTTTTTCCCCTATAACAAAATTAATAGGTCATATTGAATATGACTGCTTAGTAGCTAATGATTTGTGTAATAATGGGGCAGAAATGATTTTTTACCATAATTTTGTGCATTGTAACTACACGTGTACATATAAAGAAATGAAAATCACATAAACTTATTTTTGCAAACACATTTGCAGGTACATACTGTACCACTAATTGGTTATCAAGTATTAGATTCCTTACACACATATCACATCTGAAACAATAGTTTTATTATTTGCTTAGTTGATTGTTTTGATAATCAGGGAATTAAGTGAATTTTTATGGAAAAATGTACTTGTTTCTATTTTTCAAAAGTGACTATTTTTCTGGTTTTCTTAGTATTCTATGATAATCAGCACATTGGTTTGGAATCTGCTGGGTGTACTATCTGTAAGTGCTTGCTAATGTGCTGATTCACCTACAGTCATACTAGTCCCTTTACCAGGATTCTTATATTGTCATTTCAGATTTGCTTCCTACTGTTTGCAGTCCTCTATATTGTGTCCTACTGCATCATAACGCGATACAAGAGGAAGTCTGGTAAGTCTGCTTGGCCCGGTTTTGACCTGGTTTTGAAATGCATCTCTGTGACCCAAACACAAATGGACAGCTGAGACACATCACCATTCACGCCTATATACATGTGTCTCCAAGTTGTCATCTGTTGTGGCATCAGAACGCCTTAGTGTTTACACTACAAACAGTATGTGGTCAAATGCTTCCCAGACTACCTCCGCAAGTGGTTTCAGGGATTGGATCACAATCCATCTTGGTGGTTGTTAACACTTGTATTTAGCACTTTCCACTTGTGGTCCCATCCCCAGGATGCATTTTAAAGTTTTGATTTGATTTGATTTATTCTTTCAAGCATATAAAACAGTTGATATAACAACACACATTTTTACACACAATCCAATATCAATTTGCTTATACCTAGTACATGCTTGAATGGAGTAGGAAGAAGTCAGACTTATCCAGTCCTACCCCATGACATCATCTTACCATCATTGGTTTGCAAGCAATAAATGATTCACTTCTACACACACACATATTATACTAAAAAAGAATATAACAGTGTTAACATTCTTACATCACACAAGTGATATACTAAAGAAT